TTGCACAAATTGAAAGTCAAAACTTTTTTATTTTCATAAGGAAAATGTTTACTATTCGTACTGAATTAAATCAATCAAGTTAACTATATATTAACTACAATTATTTTTAAATTGTTGATCTATTTAAATAGGGCTTTAGTTTTATATTTATTAGGTATTGGGCAAGTTCTAATTCCATCAATAGATAATATTAATTGATTCACCAGCGACGGACTGCGATTTATGTGTAATTTAACATAATGGATTCCAGAGAAATTCTAAGAGTCTAGGAAGGATACAACATATACGAAAAATAAAAAAATACAGTAGGAAGTATTTAATTAAAAAATATATAATGAATTGTTGATTTTCAAAATAGAAATAAATATATATAGAAAGAAAACTGAATACATATAGATATAGGAAATTGAGAAATAACAACACTGAGGTTATGGTGAGGTTACAACCAGCGGATACATCGACTCCATCGAAAATTTATTCACTAAATTAAGGAAAGGTATAAGTTCCATCGATGGTTTCCATTGATGAGTTTAGGGACTAATACATCATTATTAATACTGTATATAAGAAAATTTGGAGATTGGTCAACTTCGTATACTTTCGGACATACTCGGCTAGCTCCGGTATTAATGTAAAGTGTGATCATGGATCTTGACTCGCTGAGCCCAACAGACATTCCTAGAGTTTTATCTTTTTAGCATTCTCAAATAAATAGATTTTTAACATAAATACTTTGTAGACCTAGTGTTAAATCAATCAAGTTATAATTTTTTGGGTATAAAATTACAAGTAGTTAAAGAAGCTCTATTTTTTTAATGTATTAACAGTGATTATTTTAAGCAAAATATTAGATTAGTAAAGCACAAAAAATTAAACGCAAATAAAATAAAATAATGATAGTGAAAGAATTCATAGCAAACATTGATATTTCTGTGAATTATTAATAATTAAGAGTAGAAATTTCCACTGTGAAAATGAAACGTAAGCTTAAGTTCACTTCCCGCCATTAAGCTAAACCCTAAAATCTAAAGGAATATTTTTGCTTTTATGTTTAAAATTTGAAGAATATCAGCAGCAAATATTTTTAATGTTGTAAATATGATGAAAATAACCATTCGTATCAATTTTTATTTTTATTTTATCGTTCCTGAAAATAATAAAAAATAAATACCATAGAATTTAAAAATTCTCTGTTTATTAAAAATATGAAACTAAAGAAAGGCTATTTTAATAGATGAAATTCTGAATACATTAATGTACACCCTTTCTTTGAATCCTTGACAAAACTTGACAGAACAAAAAAAAACTGAAATATTTATATTTGGGCAGCTTTTTAATTTTTTTTCTAATGGAATATTTTAAATTTAAGAAATGGTAATTGTTGAAATAGTGTTATAAGTAATGTTAAAATGCAATGTTTTACAGAATGAAACACAGAAAAAACAGGTTTTATATAAAAAATTAACCATTAAAAAATATAATAGCATGCATTATATGAAATTCATAACTCACAGAAGGAAGTTTCAATATGGCCATTTCTCTCTTGAAGTTCACTATCCACCAGTTTTTTAAAACTGACAGATTTCGAAACAGAATTAATTGTTAAAATGAATCAGCACTAAAATCACTTGAATAACTCACGTTGTTAACACTTTCCACTCATTTAGAATAATAAGAAATGACTTATAAAGAGATCCGAACCGCACTATAAAGAATATAATGAGACAAAAAAAAATCTGTACTGTGTGTGCTGTTTGGAGGGAAGCTAATTTGACTATAAAGATGTTACAAGGCATCTCATTGGCTCAGAGCTGTCCCCCACCGCTAAATCCAGAACATTCTTTTCTTAAATCTGCAATAAGTCAGTTTATTCCGATCATAACGGCAGTGTTTTTCTTCACTTCGGGATACTTTTACAAGTACTTTATCATTATTAATATTATTAGTTATATACTATTTTGTATGCTTATCAAGCGATATCTTATTATGGATTACTTAATATTTGCATTATTTGTTCTTAAAAATAATATCTCTATTGAAAAGTTATTTAATTGCAAATAGATTTATATCAGATCCTAATTTCAATAACTGCTGTATTTCAAAATGAATTTTTCAGTTACTTAAACACAGATCTCATTTTATTTAATGTTATTCTTTGAAAATTAATAGATTTATATAAAAATAGTTTTAAATGTAATAACCAAATTATAATTATTACTTTTGTCAGCATATATCAATAATAAAAAAAGATTTAACAGTTTAATATATGTTTTAAAAATGCATTTTAAGAGCAAACAAGGTTTTTACTGGGAACTTATTTAATATTATTAAGAATTGATAAGAAGTTTAAAATAAAATTTAAGAAGAACATTTAATTTACAGATTAATTTGAATTTTCTATTCTTATAGCTTTACATAAATAGAAATATTAATAAATTTGATCCTTTAAAGTTTTGTTTTATTAGATAATGTTCACTAAAAATATCATTTGAGATGAATAAGAATTATATAATATTATTTGCACTGTAACGAAGGATTTTTACTAAAAGATACATTAATGATTAAATTAAAAGTATATCGTAATAAGTATCAGGTAGAAGTATAATTAAAAGTAATTAAATAAGATTTTTGTTTTAAAAATGTTTCATTGTAACTTTCCAATATGGCGACAAACTAATGGTTTTGTGTTAGTTCACTGTCCAGGCACTATCATAACACATTTATCACACCTTAAATAAAGTAAAGTTCTATTAACAATTGTCAAAATCTGATTCTAATCAACATATTACACAAATATTTAACCAGCAGGATCCGTATAGCACTGAGAACAGAACTTGACTAAATTATATTGAGGATGGGAGATACCGGTAGCCATATTGGTAAGTGTAGACGCTTCCATAATTCGATTTATAGTCAGTTGGCAAGGAGGATATTCAATTATACCGGGAGACTGCTTTTTTTTCGAATCATTCTCTGTGTTTAGAATTATCTCCTTAATTCGTCTGGATCTCAACATTCTATTATCATTGTCGTTATTTTTGTCCATTACTTATAAATATCCATAATTATTTGGTTTAATAATGTTAATGATTTGTTTAAAATGCTTGGTGCTACCCTAACATGAGAGACTTAATAAAAAAAAACCGATGGGAGTATTTTCTCCTGAGCAAACAGATACTAAATCATGATAATAAAGTGAAAAATAAAGAAGTAATATGTTTCAAGTTCCAAAACTTAACGCTGTGCTCATTGATGGTTTCGTTAGCACAGTTCAGCTTTAAAGGAAGTTTTTGTTTTTAATAAGAGGTTACAAGTTATATTTCTTTGATAAAAAGCTAATTGTCTTTATACAATTAAAAAAAAAAAACGAATTTCAAACACACATACAAAAGTCACCATTATTAGAATTTTAAATATGACTGATTTAATCCTAAGCCGCTTTTATGAATTAATTTAATATGCTTCTAATAATTTTTAAATATATATATATATATATATATATATATATATATATATTATATATATATATATATATATATATATATATATATATATATATATATATGGCGGGCATAGATGATCACTCCAAATAAACTTTTTACTCAAGCTTAAATATACAATGTTAGAAGAAATTACTTAAACCTGAACCCAGCGCTGAATTCATCGATGACACCGGATCCACCCCTGAACTGTGCTAACGAAACCATCAATGAGCACAGCGTTAAGTTTTGGAACTTGAAACATATTACTTCTTTATTTTTCACTTTATTATCATGATTTAGTATCTGTTTGCTCAGGAGAAAATACTCCCATCGGTTTATATATATATATATATATATATATATATATATATATATATATATATATATATATATATATATATATATATATATATATATATATATATATATATATATATATATATTTAAAAATTATTAGAAGCATATTAAATTAATTCATAAAAGCGGCTTAGGATTAAATCAGTCATATTTAAAATTCTAATAATGGTGACTTTTGTATGTGTGTTTGAAATTCGTTTTTTTTTTTTAATTGTATAAAGACAATTAGCTTTTTATCAAAGAAATATAACTTGTAACCTCTTATTAAAAACAAAAACTTCCTTTAAAGCAATGCCTTAGTGATTTTTTTTTAAATAATATCGTCGATTGAATAATATAATTTAGTTTTAAAAACATTTTTTTTTTTAAATATGTGTTTCATAAGAAATAAAAAATGCTTTGTTGTAACTACTAACTGTCCGTAATTATTAGCTCTAATATACATAATAATGCATAAACATTAATAGAATAATTAATTTATATTTATCAATATTTAAAATTATGATAGTATTACTGTGTTTTAGGGGTATATTTATTTATGGACGTCAATTTAAGGTTTAAGTTTAGTTGGGTAACGATCCCATGTAGCGTTGCCTAAAATCGGTCTTGGTCTTACACTTTACAAGACCAAGACCAAGGCCACCTAACTGTTGCAAGACCAAGGTCACCTAACTGCCGCAAGACCAAGACCAGAACTGGTAAAAAAAATCGATTTTTTAAATAAAAATTAAGGCGAAATAGTTACTAATACTTGACAATCTTAGTTATTATATGTTAATAAGTATTGGTATAACCAATATACTTTTGCATTTAACTCCTCAAATTTTTCGTTCGGATCTTAGTTAGGTTTCCTCCTATCTAAAAAAATACAGTAATATCTCTATAGTAATAAGCTAATAAGTAACTGCAAGACAGTAGCGAGACTTTTGCGCAAGTCCAAGACTGAGTTAGCAAGACCAAGACTCGTCTCGGTCTCGCGTTTGGGCAACACTAATCCCATGCATCTAATTATATAACTTCTGACCTAAAAAAATCTTCCCACTTACGTCTTGTTCTTTTTTCATCCAAATGACTTCCCTGTTATGCATTTATTACCTTTATAATGCTGATTTCTGGTAGAAATATTAATTATTGTTATTATTTTCGCAGGGGTGTAGTAAGATGTGTAGGGCGGATGGGTGCTTGTTGTATCTGTCCGTCTGTCTGACGCTGGTCCTGGCTAACCCAGAAGCAAGGCGGCTTTACGACGACCTCTTGTCCAACTACAACCGGCTCATCAGACCCGTCGGCAACAATTCGGACCGGCTCACAGTCAAGATGGGACTCCGACTCTCTCAACTCATCGATGTCGTAAGTACCCATTTTTATTATTTATATATATATATATTGATGCTGATAATTGTCGAAGATTCACTCTTCATTCGCTAAAACCGGAGCGCTTCAAGAGTAAACATTGCTAATATAACCTTGCCAATTATACTTTGTTTATTTCTACAAATCCCTCAAAATATTAGTTCCATTTCGTTATTCCATCTTTCTATCTAGGTGATGACGGGTGGTTTCAAGATCACCTAGATAATAATCCTAGATCTGCTTTAATAACCGAACATGTCCGAAAGCAGACGGAGTCGACCGATCTTCAACCTTGAAAATAAATTACCCGCCATTGTAGAATGAGAACTTTGACTCATTTAAGCACAACTTTTACTTAAGATTAGACCAAATGAAATTGATTTATCACATTTTAACTTCTTTTTTTTTATATAAATGGACCGATAAATTAAAATTATTGTCAGAGATTCACAACTTCTTAAGAATGAAATATTGATTATTAGCAATAATATTTGAAAATTTATATTATACTAACTTTAAAAATATTCAATTTATATTTTTTAATGAATTTATCAAAGGTTAATTAGTCGATAATAGTAGTAAAAGTATTGAAATAAATATAATTTTTTAGATTCTGATCTGATCATCTGATGCCCGAATTATCAACTACGAATAATAATAATTACAACGTTATTGATTTTCATTCCAATCAAAATTTCATTGAAGTTTACTATTTTATTATTATTTTATTTCCTATCTGTATTTTATTATTATACATATTTTCTCGACTTTTCATTTTTTCTTCTAAATAGGGAAAGGGAATTTCAATTTAATATTAATTATGTATTTTAGCATTTTGTGTTTAAAGAAAAACATGTTATATCAACATACACATTTCTTGACAAGAGATATTTTCCGTATTTTATACTGCTTATAACAGAGGACATTTAGATTTAGTATGATACCATGATTTGGGTGATCTTGAAACCTGCGCTAGTTTTCATTGGCAGAACTAGTAACTCCCTCTCATCTTGCATATATTTTCGAGCTGTTTAATACACATTTATTTCAATTTTAAAGTAAGTTTAGAAACGAACGTACCATTTTTTTGTTTTATTAATTGTTTTTTCAATTGTTAAAAAAAAATAATCTTTTTCTTTAATTATGAAGGTATCACTTTTTAAATTATTTCAACATATAAACCTTCTCTAATAGACATTTCTATTAAAAGGAAAATTAAGTTATACTTCAATGTTTTATGGTGTTGTAATAACTCTTTTTAGATATTGCGATTGACTCTTGATGTGTGATGCGCTTTTTTTTCTCTCTTTTTAATTAATTTAAAAAGTGTTAATAAGATAACTATCAAGCAGTGTGGTGCCTCACTTAATTTCAGATATCCAAGCTGTTAAGAAACTTAAATAGATATATTTTTTTAAATATGACATTTGAATATTACTAAAAAATGACTTGATAAAGTTCAAAATATCTTACTATTCTTCTGATAATTAAATGAGGTAATAATTTTAATTTATCTAAATCTTCCTCTTATTTTTTTTTATTTATTTATTTTTTTCACGAACAGACCTTAAAGACCACACGAATACCATGAAGTTAATGCTTCCTCGAGGTCCTCTTATTATTATAAACCTATATTATTCTATCGTTATTTATTGCCTATAGTTCCAATTTAATTCTTTTTTTTTTTTATTAGTTCAGTAATATGACATTCTGTCACACATACAATAGTTATAGTGAGGTCAGAACACATTCACACCATATATAAATACAATATAAAATAAACAAAAGCAAACTAACAACTAATTATTAATCATAAAGTACATCCAATAAAACATAAAAAACACAGTCATACCTATATACAATAATTATTCTTTATTAATTTTTATTTTTTACATTTCTGGGATTCTCTGTCCTCCTCTTCAGAATCTGAAGTTATATAAATTATCCGTTTTAGGTTCTATCCTGAAGCAGTCACACAAAATTTTAAAATTAATAACATTTACAAATTTTATTAAAATCAATTTATGTATATTTATTGGGAGTGAGGTTGCTCAGTTATAGGATACTGATCTTCAAGGTTTGAATCCCAGCTCATGGCAGAAAAATTATTTATTATTTATTATTCTGTTTCATCAGCCGTGGGGGACTCTGGGATCAGGAGACCTTCCTGGGGCACACCCAGCCTCTATAAAGTGGGTAACATTAATTAAAAATAATTAATTAAGAGAGGAAGCCTGGCGGTCAAATCACCTCTTTGTACAACCGCTGACTTAGAAACAGTACTTTCCCTAAATAGTTCTAAACCCAAGACCCTTCATGGGTTATAGTGGTACAGTTCTTTTTTTTTTTTTTTTTTTTTTTTTTTTTAATATATATACATTTATTAAGACATTTATTTATCTTCTTACGTTATTTGCCCCATATTTTATGTCTTAGTAATAATAAGCTCGGTAAATGATAAAACATTCAGTTAACAAGATACAAGTACTTTTAGGGTTTACATTACATTAAACCGTAAATGTACTTCATTTCTCAAATACTAAAGAGGAACAAAGAATCTATGAAATATACAAATAAAAATTAATAAAGAATAATGCTGTAAATTGAGAGTGATTACTTAATAAATTGGACCTATAGGCTAAAACTGAGGAGAGAATAATTAATGATAAAAGGTCAAAACCAAAAAGCAATAAATTAACATAAATATTATTTTGTTTAGGTATTTTCTCCGTAATAATAATGTTAAAATAATTTCTCGCTGTGAATAATGCTACGGAAAAAAATTTATCAATTTTAAGGCAATACGTTGCAAGAAGTGTTAACTGAACTAATAAATTTTGTTAATATTATATAAACATAGAGGTCTTATAAAAGGTGCGCTGTAAGAAGTAAGTCCAAGTCTCCTCTCACCAAAAGTTTTTCCGTGAACTACTTTATTAAATTAAAATGTGTGAGTTTTTATTAATTTCAATCTTAAAACAATTTCTGCAGGTATGAAGTTTATAAAAGCTCTGCCAGAGAGTACATTAAAAAAAAAAAACTGTTCTTTTAGAAAAAAATAAAACATGTAATTAATGTAAAGTAAAGGTAATTTATAAATTATTAATTTTTTTAATTAACATTTTTTTAGAGCTTCGTTATTAAGAAATAATACACTCTGTCTATAAGGCCATATATAATTGGGGTTTGGGAGCACATTCATTCACACTCCGTGTAAAATAAATTAAATAACAAAATAAAATAACTAAAAATTAGTTTACATATACAAAAAATAAATAATAAACTAAACAAAATAATAACTTAATTAAAAACTTACTTTTATACAATATTTACAAGATTCATTCACTCAGGGAAACTTTGAGCCAAGCCTTTCCACCCATATATGGAAGGAAAGGCAGGACTCTAGGAGATCCCAACATCTTTACCACTCCTGCTTCAATATTCGGGGAAGATTGTAGGGATAGTAGGAGGCATCTAGGGTTTTGCACGTAGATTTGGATATGTAAGGTTTTGATGGAATTTTGAAATGTTTTCTGGAATAAGGTCAAACAAAACAAATGGGATATAAAAGGCCATGATATATGGTGTGGATTTACCAATTTTAGTTTGTTTTTTTAGCTAAATATCCTTTGTCTCATTTTTCTAATAAATAATTCAGAACAATTATCTGCTTTTATTATAGTATTTTTTTAATGTAAAATTATTTAGAATATAAAAGTGTTGAATAATGGTAATCATGTATGTAATTATTAGTTGTACCTTTACCGTTTAATTTTATTGTTTATCTTATAACATGTACATCTCTCTAATTTTATCTTCTAAATTGATGTTAAAAAAAATTAAGTTTATACTTATACAGACAAACAAACATTCATTGTTTATCTATGTGCATTCTAATTTTATTTCTGATTTGATTTTGAAGAAACACATTGGGAAACATTTGCTATATTTTCATATTTTTGTATAAACAAAAAAATATATAATTGATTAATGAGAATAGAAAAAGTCAAAAACTATTAGTAGAATATTTAACTTTTTTTTTCTATTGACGTTATAACCTTTTGCTGTCTTGACCAGCCTTCTCCATCTCTGCCTAGCTTGGGCCATTTTTTTTTCAGTTATCCACATGCAGCATTATTCCATCTTTATTTCATCCATCTTGGATTTTAGCCTTGTTACAGGGTCTCTTGTCTAGTTTTGAGGCATTCATTTTGTGTAGAGGCTTCCTAATCGATGGCTCTGAGCTACATGTAATGCTCATCTTAACCTCCTTGCCTCCATGTCATGAATTATTGATTGATAATTTTTTGTATTATTCATTTCTGTATGATTGATCATCCACTGGTACTATGATCTAGGTTATAGTATGAAGAATTGTTTTTTTCCAAATTTTCAATACTTCTTTTTAGGGTGCTAATTTTGTTCAGGTATCACAGCCAAATCTCCTAATTGACTTTATCAAAGCAATGTAAACCTATAACAACTATAAATAGGATTTCAAAATCCTTTAATAGGTAGAAGAAAGCTTTGTTTGGGGATTGTTATTTGCTGGTAAATATCCAATCCTTGGCCATTTTTTGAGGTATTTGAATTAATCAACTCTCGAGAACGATTTCCCTTCTCTACAGATCTTGGGATAGAATTTTCGAATTATTTATTTTGTTTTAGCTTCATTTAATTGTAGACCGATTTCTCTACTTTGCTTATCAGTCTTAGCAAATATCTGGATGCCCTTTTGATTGCTTTCAAGAACAGCTACATCATCTGCATCTCATTAGATTTTATTTTATGTTCCGACGTGCTACTCTATTCAGTGATGTTCATTTCATTTGGCTATTACTGCTTTAATTTAGTATCGCTCGATTTGTATTTTTTTAGCTCTTGAAGTCAGTCTCACCGTCTCCTGTCTGTATGATTTTTCTATATTTATCTACTTCAAGTAAGCTCACCAGTGATGGACATAACTAAGGAAATTTTTGGCTTTTGCCACCGTAATTATTATATTTATATACTTCTAAGTTAGACATTTAGAATCTCTAGGATCTCCTTTTTCTGTTTAGCATCTTAAAAATGAAAAACATATTCAGTTATCTAGGCATAATCTTCATTAAAAAAAAAACCAGCTTTTTGCACTAGTGATGCATACCATGAATTGTTCTAGTAATGGATAGGGGGCCGGTACCAGTAATGGTCATACCTCAGAAAAATTCCAAATTTTTACTTAACTATAAAGATAAGATAACATAATGTTCAACTTACTCATAGTAAAACTATTAGTAGAAAGGTATGAAACACACTGATCTCAATACCACTATAGAAACAACAATGATAAGCATTTTAAAATTTTTTTGGGAGAAATTTGTTTATATAGTTGTCAATAGAGGGCATTGTTCTTCAATCTAGAAAAAAAAAAACAGAAACCTTTCAAATCAACAATGAAGCTTATTATTTACATTTAAAGTCCAACCTGTCCATCACTGGGCTCCCTGTCCATAATTGTTGCGTTCATTTTAGTATGTTTTCAAGGGCACTTAATCTTATATATGTTGTCTTCTAGGAAAGATAAGAACTTATAATTTAACTATTTATTCAACTTATACCAACGTTTCAAGCTACTTTGCTCATTTACAAGTTATCAAAACTCAAACAAAAATTCTATAAATTTCGACATATCTTTATTATAGGATTTTATTATTATTTATTTTTGGTTCACAAACATAAAAACAAACAACGATCTACGTTGCATTTTATGTACATTATGTCTAATTCAGGTTAATTTCTGAAATCCGATACTAACTTCTTTTATTGTTAAACATTAATGTATTTTTTGGAAAGGATTTCGATGACTTGAAAATGAGCAAAGTGTTTCGAAACGCTGTTATAAGTTAAATAAATAGTTAAATTATATCGGCTTATCTATCCTTGAACACACCATATATCCGTAGATATATTATTACAGTAATGCTCGAAATCGGTTTTGTACCAAATATAAGCTCCTGTCATGCTCAAATACCACGAATGGGGTATCGTTGGATTCAGAATTTTACGGGGGGTTAGCGAATCGTATTATCCACTTTTGTTTTTCTTTCTAAAATAAATAAAGTCGATACAAACATTTTGCTAGGCTTCGATACTGGAACGGTGGTAGGTCTGTAGATCGATACGGGACAAATCGGACCTTAAAGATTTTGATGCTTACAGCAAGACCCGAGTAGTTCCCTCGGAACTATCGGATCCTGCGTTTTTAAGCCGAAAAACGTACTATTTTCGAGATAACGCAAGGAATAGGGTTCGCATCCACACAACCTTACATTAATTGTAGTACTGTCATTGAATACATGTCTTATTTCGTCTACTTGAGGTCTCTATGATCGAGAGAGGGGGAGTTTATTTTATTCATCGATGGTGTTTTTGATCGGCAAGCCATATGATCGTTAATTTTTCACCAAATCTCAAGATTGAGCCACTAATTTTTGAAGGCTTCCTTCTCCTTCAGGCTGGCAAAATAGTCCAATCACCCAGAATATTCAGGCAGACAAGTTATGAAAGAAAATAAACTTTATTTGCGAATAACTAAAAAATTACACACTTTTCCCTTTGTTATGCCCATGATTATATAAAAGGTTACTAAATTCCCTACAAAAGGAAAACAAAATCATCGCAATTGGACAATTTTTAGCAAATATACAGCTTACTGAAATTTGTATACATGTTGGTTCCAAACAAAAATGAAGATTTAAATTAATTTTTGTTTGCTTTGTGGATTATATTTATCGATAAAGTAACATATGATGTCTTAATCTTTTGATAAGTTGCATTTTCTTATTAATTTGGCATTTGATAACAATATGCTGTGCGAATTTTTCGTACGGGCCTTCTAGTATTTTCATTCCTAATTATTTTAGAGTAGTCTTTTGTAATTTTTCGTAATTATTTAAATTTTACATTTATGTATAATTATTTAAATTATACAATGTTACTATAGTAAAATACACATTTGAATGCTGAATAGAGAGTTTAATGTTACTGATAAGTTTGCAGTGATATTTGAAATTATTCAACGTATTTTTATTTTCGTTACTCAGCGAAGAAGTCATCTGGAATTTTCCTCAGTATTTTACCAATCACTTACAGTTGACCTGAATTAATTTAAAATACAATACTGATACAAATTGAATAACGACTCGAATAAGTCAACGTTTTTATTGGAAAATTGGTTATACAAAAAATGAATAAAAAGAGGAAGACGAAGGAGAAAAAAAAGAGGACATTATTTACAGTCTGTTCATCGATATTCTTTCTCCGGCTGATGGCCTGGCACTTGAAGATGAGTGCCACCAAGTCCCCTTCCAGTCTGAATATTCGACCCTTGTCCTTAATCGTACAACATTTCCTGGAGAAATATTTTTATTTCTATAACAAACAAGGGTCTTCCCTTTACTGATTGGATGGAAGGAATATATCTCTTTATTTAGGTTAATTTTTATTATTTGTTGAATAAATACATACAAGGTTCTAAATTAAGTTAATGCTAATCAGACAGTAAAATGTAATCTCTTGTTTGTTTCCTTTTATCGAACTCTCTTTATGTTATAGAAACCTCTTTATACTATATTTTTTACATCCCATACAGTTTTGGTTTATTATTTTCAATAATCAACCATTGTGATCGACCAAAAAATTCAAAAACTTAACCCTCCCCTTCAAAATTTGAGATTTCACTTTTCAGGATGCGTAGAATTCGAAAAACGAATAAAAAATTTTTTTGTCCGTCCGCCGTACGCCGTCTGCGCATTTTCTCCGAAACTACTGGACCAATGTTTATCAAATTTGGATATAAAATCAGAGGTCACCCGAGGATGATCCTCCTTCATCGGCATTAATATCCGCCTTTTACTTTCTAAATGGCGGCCGAAAAACCTGCGTAGCTATAGACTGTATCTCCTAAACGAATGTTCCAATTTAAATGAAACTTTGCTAAAGTCATTTTCTTGACGCCCTTTAAATTTATTTATATAACATAATTTAACGAAAAGAAGCTGGACAAAAAAGTTACGAGGGATGGTAAAATTAGATTCCGAATAACTCAAAAAGTTTACACTTTTTTGTAGGTATTGTTTTTTATAAGTTTACGAAATTTTCTAAAAAAAAAAAATTGTAAAAATTGCACAATAGGAGCAAAGATATGGTCTCCGGTTTTTTTTTTTTAAATGCTCTACTCCAAATGTTATATCTTTTTATTTGGTTTTTAAATTTTGAATGTGTTACTTAAATAATACTATTTTTTTTAGCATATTACTAATGATTAAAAAAAAAAGTTTAGTTCAATAATTGGAATCACCTTTTATTTATTTTTCTTTCCAACTAGGAAGGTAATGTTACTTTAGATGAATAATTGTTTGGAAATAATAAACCATTGTAAAATAGCGTTTTTTTTATTACAATCAGTATAATAATGATTCACCCTAGTAAGTAAAAAAAAAAGGTGAATTAAAAAAAACCTGCATAATCATTCATACGCATTAAACAAAATAAAATTATGACTTATATTTACCAAGAAATATTTACAATATATAACTCCGTTTTTGGGTAGAATATTCGGACCGAAGAAGTATCAGCTAACCGGAGACTTCAGGCGGTTACACAACGCCGAATTGCGTGAACTGTATAATATAACCGATTAATATAATTGAGGTGATTTCATCGGGGTGAATCAAATGGGCTGGTAAAGTTGTTGGGATTAGTAATGAAAGAATTCCTAAAAGGTTAATATTTGCTGTACCGAATGGTAAACGTTCGAGGGGTAGACCGAAACGAATGTGGGAAGATTGCGTTAAAGATGATTTGAAGGGACTGGGTTTGAACGGCGAACGGTGGAAAGAGGTGTGTAATATGCGATTGGTGTTGTCGGCATCGAACTATTGGGTTCGCTAAGCCTTTTATTATTATTATTATTATAACTCCTCTTGTCTTCTTAGAAACATTCTATAAAAAGAAAGCCTTCTTTAGCCATAAAGGGCTGACAGATCTAGTCAGGGATACAATATAGTTTTTATGTAGATTCATAGAAGAATGCATAACAGCATAATTAAATATCAATTTTTACAGTGCAACAATATAGGCTCCAATAGAAGTTTCGGGCCAAACGGAAACAAAATTATCTTATCTTTTTTCTGTTTAATAATTTATAATGATTATTTATAACAACAAAAACAATGAAATATAAATATTTCATTATTTTTATTTTCTTATTTATGTGTATTAGATATTTTATTACTAATAAACATTAACGGTTACAAATAAACATTTTAGTAACTAGTATTGCAACGTCCGCCATTAATGAATATTTATATAATTTAAAATAATAATATGTAATGCTTATGAATTAATAAATTACCTACGTAGGTAAATTTTAGGTTTATTGTTTACATTAGTAATAGAATATTTAACAGGAATAGACACGCATATAGAA